CATTTTTGAGAAAAAAACAATAGTGTTGTTAAAAAAACTAACAAGGAAAAACCACTTAGATTATTCAAAGATATGAATAAACGATTGTTTTTATATGATAAACAAAAAACTATTGATATTTTTTTTGACTTAACAAACGTTCGTTTTTTTTAATACTGAAGGAAGGATTTTATTCAACAAATGATTTTACAGAATGAACAATTTACTGAACGATCGCTCAGTAAAAAGCGAACTTAATAGATGGCAAAATGAAAGATTTTTATAAAGGAACGTTAAAATTTTTTAAAAAACAAACAAAAAGGGTCTTTCGCAAACGATGAACAAACAAAATGAAAAAAGCCTGACACGTCCATCTATACAGAGAGAATTACTTTCTAAATTGTACAACAAAATTATAAAACCTTGAATTATACACCAAAACGATCGTTTTTAGTTTCGTTTTGAATTTTTCAAAACTAACTAACTTTCTTTTTCTAAAAAAACTAATTGTTAAAACTAACGAAATGTTTTGAGGCAAAATGTTTCGTGTTCAAAGCGAGGTTTGAAGATTCAAATTCTATTTTTCATTAAGACATGCTATATTTGTGGTTATTATTTCAAAACGATCGTTTTCTATCCAAAATGATCGCTTTCATTCCAAAACGAGGAAAAACGACTCTGATTGTTCAGAGAAATAAAATAAACTATCATTTACTTAAACTTAAGATAACAAATAAATGATTTAGTGGCGTTTAAACACATTTGAAAACGTTTTTTTACTGAAAAAAATCATTTTCCGAAAAACATTTTCGAACAAACTTATCGTTTTTCTTAAATGAACAATTTTATTGAGTAAACGATTTTAGTGTATGACAAATTTTAGTGAACGTTTTTTCATTGAGAAAACGAACAAATATAGATGAAAAAAGAAAATTTCAAGAACGCATGAAATCAATTTTTTGAATTATTAAAAATAAAATTCGAACCGAACGAGACTTTCACGAACTAAGAACGAACAAAATGAAGAAAAAAAAACATTCCCATCTCTACTGAGAGAAGTACTTGATCAAACACCAACCAAAACCAACATGATCAATTCTTTAATTTTACACCAACATGATCAAATCTTTCAATCTTTCTTTGCCAACATGATAAAATATTTATTTGTACTCTATCATGATAAAATCTTTGTACACCAACATGTTCAAATCTTTAATTGCACACCATAATCATAAGTAAAATTTTTTCAAAAACGATCGTTATTCGTTTTTAAAAGTTCAAAACGAGTGGTTTGTTTTCAAAAACAATCAAAAACGAAAAAAAGCGAATTTTTTAATTTTTAACAAATGGGAGAAAACAAATATTTTGCGACTAAGTTGAACAGGGGTGTATTAATTATTTAAAGCTTCTAAACTACTTTTTTATTTGATTAGTCCATATTTTCCGAAAGACAATGCGAATTTTTGAGAGTGTGATTTTCTACCTTATATTCTGTTATTTTCTACCTTATATTCTAAATGATAAGAAATTTGGGTTTTGTATAATTCGTTCGTTTGTATGGGTATATTGCGTACTGCATATTGTTAAATACTAGTTCTAAATCTATAAAGTACAAATATAACGCGATTAGTTATTACATCCAGGGGACTGTAGACGCCATTTTCTTTAAAGGGTGGTATGCCTTATCATAGTGGTCCCTCAAAACTTTTTTCTGAAAAACAATTATAAAAGGCATTAAATTCTGTTAATTTTTCTTATTGACTATACCTTATAAATCCATAGGCACCGCAGTCCCGAAACGATTTTTTTAAGAATACAGTACTTAATCCCCCCCCACCCCTCTCTATTTTAGACCAAAATAGACTAATCGGGAAAGGGTCGTTAACTCAGTGTGAACTTCACGGTAACCGCCAAAAAAGTTCTGGGAAAAAATTTCCAGTAAAAAAGACCTAAAATTTCTTGCTAAAAAAGTCCTGTGGAAAAAAGTCTTTCCAATTCAAGACTTTATTCTGTAGGACTTATTCCCTGGACTTTCTTAGATAGATTCGTACTTCACCTCCTTCACTTATTTGCAGAACATTTTGGACAGACTCAAAAGTTTTTTTTGTCCAACTTCAAAGTTTGTTTTAAACTAACAAATCAAAAATATGACAATTACTGTCACCAATCGTAAAAAAGGAATAAGATCAGGTTGATTTAAAAAAGAAGGGCGGGGAGACAATAAAGCATTATTCAAACAGAAAACTAGGGCTGGGCACGTTTCAACCTTTTCTAGCCGTTTCGTTAACAATTAAAAACATCAAAAAGCGTAACAAATTTTAATTTAAAATAAATCATTCACTGTTTTTAGTTTAGCTTTTAAGTTAACGTTTTTAACCATTATTTTTTTCAAAAATGGCTAATCGGTTTTGTTAACGATTTAAAAATTAACGGTTTTGCCGTTTGTTAACGGACTCTTCCGTTAATTTTCTAAAACCTCTGTTTCATCAACGAAACTTTTCCCAGCCCTAATACAGATAACTTTACAGAAGACCATAAAATCCAGTTTTAGTTTTAACATAAAATACAATTGTAATCACAAGTAAGGTGACGGGGGCGTGGGGGGGGGGGTGGTTAACAAGAGAAAACGTTCTCCCGCCTACAGTCAGAGAAACACTAACTTTGAGATTAAACAACTCCGAGGCTCTTGGTCGGGTGGTGGATGGGGAGGGGTGGGAGAGCTAGTTTTACTGGTTAAAGTATATTGGGTTCTATAAGAGAATATATATTACTAGAATTTCAGAATGCATATTTTCGGTTTTTTTTGTAAAAGAAATCTTCGTTTGTGATGCAAAGAACAATAAAGTTTTGTTTGAAATGTTTCAATGCATGTCTTTAACTTAAAAAATTATATTTTCTGTTCAGGCAAAATGAATGTAAACTTAAGTTTCAGGCTAAAAGCAATGATTTAATGTAAGCTTTATTGTACAGAGAATTAAGCACAACTAAGGACTATTTCAGGATTGCTATGCCATCATGTAACAAAAAGATAAACTTGAAATTATATTTAATTTTTTACAGCTGAGACAATCAATCCTTTTCAGCTTAAAAACAATGGTCTTTTTTAGAGAAGATTATGCACAACTATGAGGATGGGGATCTTTTCATCGTTTTAATCTTTTTATTTTTTATCATTTTTATCGTTTTATCGTTTTTATTGTTTTTATCTTTTTACCGTTTTATCGTTTTTATCATTTTATCATTTTTCTTGTGTTTTTATTGTTTTATTGTTTTATTATTTTTATCGTTTTTATCGGTTTTTGGGTTATTTGCATTTTTAACGTTTTTACTGTTTTTACCGTTTTTATCATTTTTATCGTTTTTACCGTTTTTATTTTTTTATTGTTTAAATTGTTTTTATTATTTTATTTTTTTTTATTGTTTTAATTGTTTTTATTGTTTTTATTGTTTTTATTATTTATATCGTTTTTATCGTTTTATTGTTTTTATTGTTTTTATTGTTTTTATTGTTTTTATTGTTTTTATCGTTTTTATCGAATTATCTTATTTATCGATTTATCGTTTTTACATGATCGAAAGAAATTTTTAAGAACGAGCGAAAGTTCTAGAAATTTGTCGCTCAGAAAAAAATTACTGAACAAACTAATTTTCCGAAATATCGATAATTTTTTTACTGAACGAGCAATCAAAAAAAACTTTTGAAAAAACGAAAATGAACGTTAATTTTTAGAATGATAAAAAACTATGAACAACCGTAAAAAGCCAAATGGCCCATGTCTACCCGAGAGATAATATATGCAAAAGCGAATCAAAACAACCGTTTTTGATTAGTTTCTTATTTTTATTTTTCGTAGAAACATTTGCATTATTTAATACAAAATTGTGCAGGCTCCCATTATTTAATACAAAATTGTGCAGGCTCCCATTATTTAATACAAAATTGTGCAGGCTCCCATTATTAAATACAAATATGTGCAGGCTCCAATTTTGAAATGTTGAAACCTTTAAAACTAGTTCTAATGACTTTATTGACTTTAGAAAATTGGGAATCTTTACCCATTGATATCTGAGGGGAGGAAGGCCAGCTACATTAATTTCTAGTCCGAGCCACATTCTTCTATTTTTTTCGTCCGAGCCACCTCGAAATCCACGTCCTTCCAAGATTATCAATCCTCCAAGATAAAACTAATTTAGAAAAATCGATAAAATGTTGAATTTTTGTAAATCGAAAAAAATAGTTTCAATTAGATTAAAGTTTTCAGGTTTAATGTTCACCTTTTTTTACGCGCATTTTCAGATATTCCTGGTGTAGAATGCGGCAAATAATTCCGAGTTTATAGAACTTTAACCTTTTTTTCTGAATTATAGTGAAACCCATAGAATTTTTCCGAGTGGTTCCATGGAGAAAATGATAGGCAGAGGTATGCCTAATATTTTTCTATTTATTTGATATCGCGAAGGTTAGCCATTACGGAGGCAGAAGAGATTTAAGTTTTACTCAAATAATGTTTGACATTTAAAGATTCCAACATGATTTGCAATCGTTGTAATACTTTAGTCTATCCATATTTTATGCCCTAACCTGGTCAGATTTATTAAAAACAGTTTTTTCAACTTAACAACTTAAGGACACAGAATAATCGAAGGACCTGGATTTCGAGGTGGCTCGGACGAGAAAATTGAGGAGAATGTGCTCGTAGATGAGAAATTGTTGTGGCTGGCCTCCCTCCCCTCGATTCCCATTCTCCCAAATTTTACCCAGAAACGTTTTCCCGTAAATTTCTTTGACATGTTCTCAAAAAAAAGGTGGTCTTAAACCTCCCTCCCCCTTTCCCGGCTAAATTAGCGAGCAAGTCGTTAATTACCGCACTACAAGAAATATCTTTTACAAATTCTTGACCGGTTTACTTTTTTACTTATTCGTGCTTTTTATAGAGATTGTTTGTAGAATGCAGTACACTGCGTACTGCGTACTGCGTTTATCACGATAACTAGTTCTGGTATTTATCAACAATTATCTTTAACTTAGTTGATTGTAAAGTCCCACTGTGGAAACGTGGGATTTATTTTAAACTGCTATCTAATTGTTGTTTATGATGATTGTTTTATATGGATTTATTCTTTTCCTCAGGTAATTATAATTAATAAAACTGTTAACCTTCTTTAAAATATCTATTATGATTGTCATCTTCACAACTTTAGATTTTGAAGTGTTAGTCATGAAATATTTTTATTATTGTTAAGAGTAAAGCAAGTGTTTTATTTTGAAATTGTCAATTTAGTTCTGAGAGTTCCAGTTAGAGACATGAATTCGGTCTATATGAACATACAGAGCGTCCCCTATTATATAAGATTATCTCCAAACTTTAACACCAAAATAAACCCTTAATGCTCAAAAAACTTGTTTTTTTCCGTAAGAAAATTCTTATATAAGCCTTATGTTATTTTTCAAAATGATTCATCAGGGAGTAAGGAATAGAAGGGAGATACAACTGACGCGGTTCGCCCTACCATATGATTATACATCCTTTGCAGACGGTACTCCATTTGTATAAGACATATTCAGAATAGGTTATTGTATACGCGGTAATTGTACATCAGACAAATATTTCTTATACAAATGAAGTACCTTCTGCAAAGCATGTATAATTATATGGTAGGGCGAACCGCGTCAGTTATATCTCCCTTTTATTCCTTACTCCCTGGATTCATTCTAATGAAATTTTCTAATTAGTCCCGAAAATAGTAATTTAGACCCGTTCTCGGTCTAATATGATGTGGGACACCCTGTAAGTAAATCATCCACCTGTAAATCTTAAAAGCCAAAGATTGTTAGAATTCATAACCTGTCGTGTGGTCGTAATGGTCGTAAACATAGGTTGACTAAGAAGAAGTGAATGCTTTAACGCAATTTGCATCCCAAGGACCAAATCTAATAAATTGGCGAGGTTGCTGAACTGTCTATCACTGGCTTAAAACATGACTCACTGATTCAACCCCTCATGAATGTTTAAGTTTGAATCGGCGAATCAAGATTTAAACAGGCGGTTGGTAGTTTAGCAACCCAAGATTTGAACGGGCGGTTGGTAGTTCAGCGACCCAAGATTTGAACAAGCATTTGGTAGTTCAGCGACCCAAGATTTGAACAGTCAGCAACCCAAGATTTGAACGGGCGGTTGGTAGTTCAGCGACCCAAGACTTGAACAGAGGGTTGGTAGTTCAGCGACCCAAGATTTGAACAAGCATTTGGTAGTTCAGCGACCCAAGATTTGAACAGCCGGTTGGTAGTTCAGCAACCCAAGATTTGAACGGGCGGTTGTTAGTTCAGCGACCCAAGATTTGAACAAGCGGTTGGTAGTTCAGCGACCCAAGATTTGAAAGGGTGGTTGGTAGTTCAGCGACCCAAGATTTGAACAAGCGGTTGGTAGTTCAGCGACCCAAGATTTGAACGGGCAGCTGGTAGTTCAGCGACCCAAGATTTGAACGGGCAGTTGGTAGTTCAGCAGCCCAAGATTTAAACAGGCGTTGGTAGTTGGTTGTTCAGTGCTAGGTGCTAGGATATGGATCGAATTTACTTTATTTTAATTTTCTGTTTTAGAATTGGAGGTTTCAATGGAAAAGCTGTTGTTCCATATGGAGGGGAAAGTTCTCATAGATTTCAAGATAAAGGTAAATACTTCAATCACAATAGTTTACTAAACATTAACAAAACACTGGAATCATAAAGTACTTTTGGCTTCACTATGTGGTCATACTGCAGAAGAAGGCAGACCCTATTTTGAAAATTCCAAAACTAGAGGTATTTTGTGATTTTTAACTTTAGAATTTTTTATCTAAAATTACGATTATGAATAAATGCCGCAACTTATTTCATAGATCAAATTTCAATTTATTTTGCTAGTTCCTACTGATTGCTAGATTCTACCGAGTTTCCTAATTTGATGCAAATTAATCTTAAATGAAAAATACAAAACCTGATTTATTTGTGTCTGTTATTTCTCAATGCCTTTTTTTGTATTTATTTTTTAGGACATCTAGAAAATCTGAACCGACTTAGCTCTCAACTACTGAATCTGAACTCTTACACCATAGGTGATGCTGACGGATATAAATTTGCTCCAAGATATCATCAACATCAGGTCTTTCTTTACATAAAGTTCTGTGAGCTGGGATACCCATAATCCAAATAGCTTGATATTGATATCCAGAGTGAACACTTTAAATTTTACGCAAAATAACCTTGATAATTTTGCAAATTTGCAATTTCTCCATTCTCTCATTGGTAATACGCAAAATTCACTGGATTCTAACAGGCTGTTTATTTTCTACAGACGACACGCAATCAAAAAAAAAGGAATACAAATTAAATTATTATTTAACATAGAACAATACTTGATCTGGATATCCACAAGTCATGAATTTCAAGCTCTGGTAAATAAAACAAAACTTTGGAATACAAGTTATTGTAAATGTTGCTTAAAATGTGTATTGTCCAAAATTAATGAATAGTAAGATGAATAATAAGTTGAAACACTTCTATCGGAATTGATCCATGGCTCACAGGAAAATTGGTTTAGTTTAGATTTTAGGTTTTAGGTTTTACATAATAAAAAGAATGGAGAAGACTACAAGGATTTCACTGTTCTCACTTACATAAGCCCAGTTTCTAAGGTGCAGCTACCCCTGGTACAACCATGGAATTTACCTTGAACACGCATTACGATATATGTATGCGTATTAATCCTATTTAACCTTACGTCTGGTTTACTGACTGGTTACCTTGGAAGGGGGGGGGGGGTCAAATTCCCTATATTTTCTTATTGTGATACAAATCTATAACATTAGATACGTTTGTTCAGCCCTTAAGCTCTACTTAAATAATCTGCAAAAATGGCAAATTTGCAAAAATCCAAATATTTATTGCAAAATCTAGCAAAAAAAACTGCGCAAATTGCAACAAGAATTTAAATGTGTTCCAAGAAAAACTGAATGTGCAAATTCCATTTAAAGGCGTCTGTGCATAAATCTGTGCAAAATTTTTCTGCAAAAATTGTGTAATTTGCTTTATTTTGTTATATATAGGCTTTCCAAAGAGCTATAAAATGTTGAAATCCAATGACTGGAAGTAGGTCTAAATATAGATTTAGTCTGGTATAGGTAAAATAAGGCATTTAGGCAGTATGCCTGATGCCTGAGGACTCTAGCAATAGTTAGGGGGATGTTTTATTTAGAAAAGCCAAAAAATTGAGCTTCCTGACTTAAATACTTTTTGAGTTATCGCAATCAAATTGAGCCCCCACCCCCATCCCTCAAGGGCAAATGGGGTTAACAACAGCTGTAGGCGCAACTAAGAAACTGGACATCCAGATGAGAACCCGAAATTATTTATCACCTTGAACATTATGTTAAGAATTCTGAAGACTATCTTCGTCCAAGAAAGATTGATCGTCCCAAATACGAGCCTTATGTTGAGCCTGAAACTATTCCTGTATATTTCCCTGTATATGATGACGGTTACACCAATCCTGAACAACGCTCTGGGAAAGGTATTTTCAATTTAATTATTTTTGACTTATAAAGGAATTGACCTCGTGATATCTAGTGATCATTGATTCACTGAAAAATAATAAATTCTACTTTAAAAGGAACTTATATTTTTGTACACCACAGAGTAATCTCAAACCTACCCCAAAGTTTTCTGTTTGTACAATTGTTAATGGTTAGGGTTCACTCGAAATTATGTTGACATTCTCTTTGTATAAGGTTTTGAAGGAACTGAACTCTTGCCACACACTGAGTTTATAATCCCTCCTAGTTATGCATAATAATCAGAGGCGCATGGCACATGAGAGGGAGGGGGGCACGCCCCCCTGCAGAATGAGTAGAAAGAATGGCGAATATCATTATCACAGGAATTAGGAAACCAATAAAATTTTTGCAGAAATTATGCTATATTTATAAGTTTAAAAAATATTTTCAACTTTCTCAATTCTCAAGGCTAAAGGTTATTGTAAACATTTAATGTAAAAAAGTTCCGAACTGTATTGTAATTGTGTTGACTGTTGTTAGTTCATAGAGTTCAAACTGTACTTAAATGTACTTAAAATATACTGATCTAAGGTTTTGATTTTCAAATGTTTAAACCATTCAGGATGCAAAGCTATAGGGACAATAGGGAATTTGAGTTTGTAGCAAAAACTCATTTCTTTTAGTACATAGAAATTGTAATTATAAGCTTTGTGTAATTTACATTAAAATATAAAAGGGTAACTCATGTTGCGATTTCCCAGCAAGAAAATTACATTTAAATATTTTAGCGGCATCTGCAGAATATGAGGATACCCCCTTGGTGTCTCAATACCAGGAATTTATTATGAACTTCTTCGACCAGAAAACTCATAAAATCCTGAATGCACTTAGTACTCAAGGTAAGTTGAGCTAAATACTTATTTTTTATAAATTTATCTTTTTGGTCTCATATATTCTTTCCAGGTAAGGTTTCTGATGGTGATATGAGACAGGTTAGAATATATGGAGATACTGATGTTAAAAATGTGTCTCAATCCCTACTGGAGAATGACCAAGTGTCCTATGGTGTGCTTAGGTAAGACGAATATGAAAATATGTTGCAAGTTTAAAGTGATATTTTTTAGAGATGGCATTACCAGTTGAACGAAAATTCAGTTTTTCTGCAAATTTGATGTTCCTGACATGACTGTTTCAAGTAAAGGTTGTAAAAAGCATGTTTTATTAAGCTGTCATGCCATTGTTTCCGTTATTTTTATGGCAGTTGTGTTCATCATTCAAGTAAGTTTATGGCCGTTTTGCCTATTGTTCAAAATTAGTGTCTATGGCCATCATGCCCATTGTTCAAGTTTAATTATGGAGGGATTAAGATGTTTGCAGAACCGGTTTTGATGCCTGCACCAGCACCTGGAAATGTTTTTCCAGCAGCGAACTATTTCAGGATGGATTACTGGTTGAAAGAAAGCGTTTTTGTTTTTAAGGAATTTTGATGTTCCTGACATGATGTTTTCCAGAAAACTTTGTTAAAGCACATTTTATTTGGCCGTTTGGTTTGCAGGATGTGCAGCCTGTCCAGCCATGAAGTCTGCGCGGTTGTAGGAGCATCTCTCTCTGTGGGCAAATGAAAAAGTTGTCTGTCTTTACATGGTAGAATTGTTCTCGTTCAAACGCTGACAAGCTTAAGTTTCAGGTTGGAGTAAGACATGCTTGTACACTGAATTCTTCATTTTCCACAAAGTACCCCCAAATCTCAAACGAAATGAAAAAAGAAAATGTTCAATAGGAATGGAAGATAGGTGCTTCATCCTAGTATTGTAAAACCATCTCATTAGTATTATAAAATTCTGAAATTGTTCCTCTACAAAAAATCTATTCATAAAAATTAAAATGATTGAATTGACCAGATTTTATAACTAGTTAATTACATAAAAGTTTTTAAGCGTGTATGGTTTAATCTACATAGGTCAACTTCGTTTTAATTATATTTAGTTGCTAGTTGCTGAATTATTGATATTTCCACAAAATCTTAGGACTGCCATCAGTTTATTATTATCATAAAGGAAGAATTTTTTACCACAAACTTTTTTTTTTTAATCCCGTAATCCCAATGTTGTAACCTTTGATATTATTAAACTACGAGTTCTGTTAGATCAAATTGTTTAAATTTGAAATCTTGAAGGTTTCCACTATCCAAGTTTGGGATAATAACATTTGGGGTTGTGGTGAAAACTCTGTTCCTTTTACAGGCAAACTCCACATGGGCGACATCTTCTGCTTGTTACTTTGCTTGAGGGGTTTGATGTGGATTATTGGGAACCAAGGTCAGTAATGCACCCTTGCTTTAGTGTACATTAAGGTTTCTCATAGTCTTTGCCACAAATTAAAATGCAGATCTTAAAATTAGATTTTAAAATTTGAACTGTTAGATCAATAGAAATATCCTACCTCCGTAGAAACCTCTTAAAGCTTATATATATAAAAAGTCTCTTTTCTAGATGTGGTTCTTATGTTAAAATGTATCTGCCAGATTCTCTTAAACTACCAAACCAACCAACACCACCTGCAGATGCTTGTATTTTGCATGAGGTAAATAATATATTTAGGGTATTTGTCTTCAGAGGCGTAACTGGGGGTGCAATGGGGCAAACTTTAAGGTAAAATAATTTGTGGGTTTCCCTCCCCCCACAAGATTATTCTATAACAGATGTCCATCAAGTTTATCTAGAAAGGACTGGAACTTGTTCATAGTAATGATGTAATATTCTAGGTTTTGTAGTACATATTAAAAAGTTTGATTTTGTCTTATTTTTCGTCCATACATATTTTTATCATGTTTTAGGTCACTCTCAATGGAAGAGTGGTGAATAGAGCTGAAATACTGGATTACTATCATTCAAAAATTGTTTCAAGCATTGGTAAAATGGAGGAATTTTCCAGGTATGTTTAAATTTTAATGATAATCATACAATATTATTTGTGTCAAATTCTTCTCTTTGTCAAGCACTGCTTATGGTTGACCATCTTCATTTCTTTTCCCTGAATGATTGCACTGTTTTAAACCTTAACTGTGCAAATGTAGCATAACAACAGTGCCATGAAGTTGATGCAGAGTGCGATTTATCCAAGAATAACTAACAGATGTTTTATTGATTTTGTTAAATCATAATTTAATTTAACTGTTCATAAACCTTCCCTAGGGTCATGTAAGGTTCCACAAAAATTTGACTTCATCGCACGTAGTGATGAAAAGAAAGTTTAAAGGACCAGTGTCCAAATTTAATGAATTTAAGCTGCATCTCAAATCCCCCAAAAACAGGTTTCAATTGAGCTGCTGCTTAAATCTTGAAAAAATTAATAAAACTTTAAGTGGAACCAACTAAATTTGAGCCACAGCTTAAATTTAAACCACGCCACAAATTCTTTAAATTCGACCTCAGTTTTTATCTTCATAGAACAATATATGCTTTCTTCTCTGCAAACAATACCTTTATTAATTAGCAATTGTTAAAACTTTTTTCTTTTCCCAAGGTTTCACACTGGGGATCAGAATGCAGTTAATTCTCTAGTCAGATGGTGCTTGGATCAGGATTCATTTGATTCCATGCTGTCTCTTCTAGTTGTTATCAGGGTTAGTGAATTGTTGCAAAACCTGTTAATTTTTAAATGGTATACGAAATCTCAGTTTTTAAAAAAATAACTGTTTAAAAGAAAACTTCATGAATGTGTTTTTACTGACTTTTTGCCTTATTTTCTGCTAAAAATTGCATACAACTTGCAAATACAAAAAGGTAATTTTCATGTATTTTGATGTTGCTTTTTTTGTTGAATTATAAGCGTTTTTTAATGCTCAGCACTTAAAGTTTGTCTAAAATATCGTTATTAATATCGAGTTTGTTAACAAACTGTAGCTGTTAAAAAGAACCCATTCTCTTCAAGATAACTTCAACATAATGCTTATATTCAGGATTCCTGTAATAATAAGCTGTTTACTGAGGCTATGTTTACTATTATCCAAGCTAGAAATGATGTAGGCTTTGTACTTCCCAGCCTGTCCTCAATTGATCCTCTCGACTACTTGCCATTTCACAACCGTAAGATCATAAATTGATTTCATTAATATTGATGGAATACCAAAAAATTTTTTTTGTTGATTTAGGCTCCTCAGATGTTAGTGAGATATATGAGAATCACAGAGTTAAACGACAATCTCAGTCAGTGATAAGCTTTAGAGGAGCACAAAGGTATAACTTTTAATGACTGTAAGCCTCTTATCTGAAATCTGAAAGATAATTTTACGTTTAGAACTTACCCACCATCCGAACCTGAATCAAGAATTTGGTATTTCCGGGAAGATGTTCTGATAAATACTATGCATGCATCCTGGCACATTATCATGAGTGGTTCAAATAGCAGAATGTCTCTAGAAAGGTATTCATTTAAAAGTGTTGACAGCTTTTAACCCAATCCTGTGATTTTTTGTCTAATTGATTTTTTGATAGATATTAACATGTGACCATGTTAATACAATAATTTTTCAAGGGTTTTTAAAAAAAAGATAGTTTTAGATCTGTAGTTAAATTAATAATTGACCTGATTTTGACTTTCAGCAAAATACATGTTCAATCATCAAGTTTTAACACCACAAAAAGCAAATCGCAGGCAAATAAGTATATTGAAATTATTAAGGCGGGGAGAAATGTTTGCATATATGCATGGCCAAGTACTTCACAGATACAACTGTGAACGTCTTGCAAATGGTCTTGGCCTAACTGAAGAATTTGGTCCACGCCATTGGCCACAAGGAATCTGGCCAGGATATGACTCTCAACTAGGTTCTGTCATTAATGGTAATAACATTTTTCTAATGAAAATATTCTATTGGTGAGAGATGGCAATACTTGATTCACAACGGTACCCTTAAAAGCTTTGTCTGACCATGAAAAATAATTAGTATTCAAAATTACAAATCTTGGTGGTTACTATACAAAAGCTAGTAGCAATTTTCACTGCATGAAAATCAGGAATTATCAAAATTAAACAATTTCAAACAGAGAAACAATTTCCTTAGTAATGATCAGATAAAGATGACAAGTGATCCGTTGTGAATAGCCATCATTGCATGTAAGGGACTAATGGTAACTTGAAATTAAGCATACAGTCTATAGGGACAAACAAAATTTGGGGAAAAAAAAATTTTTACTTTTTTTCAGGCCAAAGATATCCAGGAAGACCTGCAGGGGCAACTATTACAGGTTTGTTTTGATTGGAAACATTTTATTAAAAAAAAAGAATTATGGTTAACTCTTACCATTTTAATAAATGACTCTTTTTAAGGATTTAATGGCTTGCGTCAAAACACTGAAAGACTGAATGCTGCAATTGATCGTCTTGACTTGGGAAGAAACAGGTTAGCATGATCATATTAACCTTGCTTAACTTTTATTTATATGATTTGATTTAGGCTTGGGTATGCTCAGGGTGTAGATTTTGGTATCAGTCCCCTTGGAGATGTAGTTGAAGCCTATGGTAGCAACAATCAGTATGGGGGTCCACACAATTCAGGTAAATTAAAAGATTTTGCAAAATATGTTTTTGTTAACTTGAACTAATTTAGGACATGTAAGAATTGCCACAGCCGGAAACTCAGGAACGTAAGTTAAAAATAATTTAGTATGTGTTTTTGGATGCCCGTGATAAGTAATTTGTTAGGTATTTCCCCAAAAGGCATTTTCCCAAAGGTGACTATCCAAGTGAGAATTTCCAAAGTGGCAACTTCCCAAATGTTTGATATCCCAAGCGGCAACCTCCCAAATGTTGTTAGGCCCTTGAAAGCACCTCAGGATGCAATGGGGCCGAAACCTTTCGGCTAAATTGGGCAAAGGGGCTGAGCGCTCTGACTAGATCCGGCTAGGTAGCTGAGCGCTGGGACTAGATCTGGCTAAGTAGCTGAGCGCTGTGACTAGATCTGTCTAGGTAGCTGAGCGCTGCGGCAAGGACAAACTTAAGAAGTTGCGGCTTGGGAAATTGCACTTTTGGGATGTTGCCACTTATAAAATACCCTTGGGATGTCTTTGGTAAAGTACCTAACATCATTTGTTTTAGTGGTGTAATGGGATTTCCCCAGACTTCTATGAGAGATCCTATTTTCTACAGATGGCATACCTTCATTGAGAATTTCTTTCTTAGATACAAGGTTAAGCCAATGATTATAATAAGTTGGAAGACAATTCGATTTAAGAACAAATTTTTCAGGAGCGGCTTGGTCCTTATCCTTCAGCAGATCTTGATTTTCCAGAGGTTCAAGTTGACAACTTTTGGGTTACTTCTCAAGTAAGGTTTTGTTTATTGGGAAAACTTTTAATATATGTATATCTGCTCAGCTTCAAGTGCTGCTGTGTAAAGTTTCGTTGACTTAAAACTTAAAACAAAGGGGTCTGAATCTGTAATTTAAATCCCTATCTAAAGGAAATAAGTTTTTGCAACAAGCTCTAACTTTTTAATCCTTGTATATTTGCAACCAAACTCTGAATTCTGTAATACTAAAAAATGTAAGTTTGTATTAAAGAATTTGAGCCGCGGCTCAAATATGGTTGGTTTCACTAAATATTGTATTCATTGTTCAAGATTTAAGCCGGCGCTTAATTGAAACCAGTTTTTGGCGTATTTAAGACGTGGCTCAAATTCATTAGATTCGGACAGGGGTTAAAAATATTTAGCACCATTAGGTTGAAAAGATTTAGAAATTTGAAAATTTGAAATGGCAATTTTAATTTTCAATCAGTTAATTTCATAGTGCAGGACTTTTGAAACTTAAAATTTATTTAGGTTTAAAATTTTAAACATGAATTTAGATTTTATACATCACTACAAAATTAGGATTGAGCTGCATGCATTATATTAAATATTTTTTGAATAGGAAAGTTTTCAGTGTTCATTACCAACATTTATTTAGGGTCAGAATAATGTGATCAGAACATTTTATGATGTTGGAACTGTTAGTCTAGATGGTAATCTTCTTAGGTAAATAGATAATCTGTTGGTATTTCAGTTTGAATTAAAGCACTATATGGCAACAGTTGCACAATTAAAAATGTTAATCAAAGACTTGATCCAAAAGATAAAGCTGATTTAAGTGAAGAAATAAAGATTTGGCATCTGACAGTGACAATGCTTTCAGCATCTTTAGATATATCTAGAAGAAATTCTGAAACTGTTAGGTCACTTCTTCAATGCAAATAAATTTGAGATTATTGTGTGTAATAATAAAAGAGTTAAAATATTTTCTTGTTTAGGTCATTAGGAGTTGGAAACATACAGTATGAAAGATTAAATAATCAAGGATATACCTTCAATATGCAGTAAGTTTAATGCACTTCATGTGTTCAATATTATTTATATGATGGTATTCCAGGGACCGAAATTTATGAATTTGAGATTCGTTGCTGAAGTAATAACTGTTGTGCTGGTTAAAATTTAAACCCCCCCCCGGNTAAAAGATGAATGTGGTTCAAATTTGAAGCGGCTGTAGACAGTTCAAATTAATTAAATTTGGTCCCAGTGAGTATAGATCTTTGTAGGTTATTTTGTGGTTTTTAGGATAAACTCAAGCGTTGCTACACCTGCAATAGGAAGAATATTCCTGGTTCCCAGTCAATTCAGAAATAATGGTAATATTCCTAAAGGAATTAAGCCCCTGCCACAAACTCTGATTTTCTGATCCCTATATCAATGCTAACCAATGTTGTAGACCTTATATTTTTCAAACTATGAAGTCTGATACTTTAGGTTGTCAAGTTTGAAATATGAAAGGTTTACATCATTAGGTTGCACAGATATAGGGAGTCAAAAATTTGAGTTTGTGGCAAAGACTTAATTCCTTTTGTTAAATATGCATATTTCACTAAATTTGTTTTAAATGTTGCCTTTTAATAATATTTATTTTTTTCAGCTCAAAGTGTGTTTATACAGATGGATCTATTCTATATCAATTTGAGACAAGGACAAAACACTTTAACCAGGTTAAAAATGTTGGAATTTGAAATAAATTTTTTTTAGATTATATTTATTTGCCCTAAGTTTAGTCTTCTAGATCACCTAATGAAAGTCCTCTGCACTCAACAGCACCACCCGTTCTTAGGGATTTACAGAATGGTCTACTCAGGGTAATTTTTTTTTCTAAATCAATTTTTAAAATTATTATATACTTGTAGCTAAAGTGCTCCGTATAGCCCGTGGAATTCTAAAACACTTGAAAAATTTTGAATTTGAAAAATAAATCTGAATTTTTTCCAGGGGTTCTTATGGGTTCCCAGTGAGTATTTTTACCAATTTGGTCCAGCCGTTGGGCCAGTACAGGGAATAAATATATTTGAACAAAGAGTTTAAGTTAAAGTCAAATCCACAACTTTGGCCAAAAATGCTGCGACTTTTTTCCATGCTTATAACTTTAAATTACTCAATTATGTGAAAAATCTTGCTTATTCTTAACCCTATAAAGAGTGGGGGGGGGTCTGAATCTATGTATAGCCTAGGTGAGGGTTTGGGCCCCCCCCCCCCTAGAAAAAGGCCTTAGAGAATAAGACTAGAGCTAAAATGCAAGTTCATAACCCACTTTGTCCTGGCCAGCTCATAGAAAAAAAATTAGACGGATAACTTTAATAGTTTGGGTGCTAGGGAGGATGGAAAAAATGCCTTAAAAAGGGTCAAAAAAATAAAAATAAAGTTTTTGTTATATACAAATATCAAAGTGCAACACATGTTTTTGCATGTATTTTTTCAAGGGCTTTTCAAAGTTATAGATTTTAGATCTGTAGCATTATTCACATACAAGTTATGGGCTATTTTATATTTTTTCACAGACCGGACATTTTTCCACCCTGTACCCTACCCTATATATAAAAAAAAATATTTTTTCAGCAAAAAATCCTTTACATTTCTATTCATTAAAAGACACAAATTTCACGGTGATTGTGTCAAAAATTAGAGTGCTAGAACAAAAATAACTACTGGGTTAAATTTTGAAAATAGTGTATTTTTTGACTTGTAATATTTCCAGGGAATGAGTGAAACTACTTTCAACTATGCTCACTGTGGATGGCCAATTGTAAGTTCCATATTTTTTTATGTTTGGTTGATGATACATTCAGACTTTTATTTTTTCAGGAAAACGCAATACCCCGAGGAACAACCCAGGGAATGCAGTTTGACATGGTTTTGTTTATCTCAAAGGTTAATGAAAGGGATAGGTAAGTGAAAGCTCAACTTTTTAAAAATAATTTCTTACAATTAATTCTTTATTCATTTTGTGATGGGCAAAATTTAGGGTCGTTTTAATAAGTTTAATTGGTTTAATTTTTGGATCTTGATTTAATGGAATGAACAAATTAAGGTTTTTATGGTCTGGTAATGCTATTTAAGTTAACTGAAGATTTACTTTTTTAAAGCCATTTTTGAACTAAAATTTTTGAAAAGTTTTACAAATTTCAAAATTGTTTTTCTTAACACTTTCTTTTCTTACACTAAATATTTAACCCTGAGAGAAGATATTTGTGCATGTGAATTAAATTATTTAATCAACTCTCAAAATAAAGCAGTGTTTATTCTAATTATTTGATTGCAGAAATAGTGAATTCCATGTTTTAGTCAGAATGTGAATGATTGGTTGACAAGAGGAATGAATTCTTGGGCCTGGTGTGGGGTTAGACAGGGAGGTTTACCACCAGATTCTAAACCTATGGGTTATCCTCTAGACAGGTAGAATTTATTGATTTATTGATTATTATTAGATTCTGACAGAGGGTTGAGGGGTTTTAGTATCCGGTCATATTTTAAATATTACAGAAAGCTTAAATTATTACAGTAAGATGGATCAATTTATTGGTTAGTCGTTGATTTTTAGTGGAAGGATCTTTACATTGGTTAGTTATTGATTAATATTGCGACGATGTATTTATCCATTGGTTTATCAATGATTATTTGTAGTATCTATTCATTGGTTTATCATTGATTATTGGTAGTATCTGTTCATTGGTTTATCATTGATTATTGGTAGTATCTATCCATTGGTATCTATCCATTGGTTTGTCATTGATTATTGGTAGTATCTATTAATTGGTTTATCATTGATTATTGGTAGTATCTATTCATTGGTTTGTCATTGATTATTGGTAGTATCTATTCATTTGTTTATCATTGATTATTGGTGGTTTATCATTGATTATTGGTAGTATCTATTCATTGGTTTGTCATTGATTATTGGTAATATCTATTCATTGGTTTGTCATTGATTATTGGTAATATCTATTCATTGGTTTATCATTGATTATTGGTAGTATCTATTCATTGGTTTATCATTGATTATTGGTAGTATCTGTTCATTGGTTTATCATTGATTATTGGTAGTATCTATTAATTGGTTAGTCATTGAATAATATGCTTGGATCTATTCATGGTATGGTTAGTCATTATTATAATTGATAGGATCTATTCAAGGGTTTGTCATTGATTTATACTGGTAATATTTGGTCATTGAATTATATTTCTGTATCTATTGCTTAATTAGATTAAATTATTTGATTTGTTATCCATGATGTCATTTGCTTAGTTTCTTGTTTGATTAATATTCCTTCAATTAATTTGTCTCATGCTATTGATCTGCTTTACATTCATTGGTTGATCAATTGTTTTGATTTGCACTAAATGAATTTCCAAAAGGATTGATTGTTATCCTGTGATTTTATCGTAATTTTTTTCCCTTATCCTTCCATCGAATAATTTGTTTCCCGATAGTTTATTTGTAATTTATAGATTTATTTTTTTTATTTGTTTTAAATTCAATCAAACTAATTGTTTTGCTAATGGATATAGTGCACAATCTTTCTTTTGTCGATTTTTCACTTTCCAATCTGGTCTGATTTTTCACTATCCAATCTGGTCTGATTTTTTTCTATCCAATCTGGTCTGATTTTTTACTATCCAATCTGGTCTGATTTTTCTCTATCAGATTCGGTCTGATTTTTCATACATTTGTTTCAAAACATCTTTCTCATTTCAGGAATTGGGACTTAGATGTTCTTATGAGAAGATCAAATGCAAGATTGACTCCGATAAGTATAGTTCATGAAGGGAACTAATAGCCTGCTTAAACCACGCAGTTATGAAAATTAATGTGATTTTATTCCTATTATTGTATGAATTCCATCGTATGTGTATTTATTTATTTGATCTATTGTAATTTGGAATTTAAATAAATTCTTTTAATAATTATTCTTAACAATGAAATAATTATTCTTTACAATAATGGCATTTTATGATTATTCTTGAACACCAGTTAGAAATGATAATTTTAGACACACGTTAATAAAGATAGTTTTAGACACCTGTAAGAAAAGATTATTTAGACACCGGTCAGAAAAAAAGATAGTTTTAGACACCCGTCAGGAAAGATAATTTAGACACCTGTCAGAAAAAGATAGTTTTAGACACCCGTCAGAAAATATAATTTAGACACCTGTCAGAAAAAAAAATATAGTTTTAGACACCCGTCAGGAAAGATAATTTAGACACCTGTCAGAAAAAGATAATTTTAGACACCCGTTAGAAAAGATAATTTAGACACCTATCAGAAAAAAAAGAGTTTTAGACAACCGTCAGGAAAGATAATTTAGACACCTGTCAGAAAAAAGATAATTTTAAACACCTGTCAGAAAAGATAATTTAGACACCCGTCAGGAAAGATAATTTAGACACCTGTCAGAAAAAAAGATAGTTTTAGACACCCGTCAGGAAAGATAATTTAGACACCTGTCAGAAAAAGATAATTTTAGACACCTTTCAGAAAAGAAAAAGTTAGACATCAGCAAGATAATTTTTAACAGGAATCTGGGGAAAAAAGATAGTTTTAGACACCCGTAAGAAAAGTTATTTTTTTTAAATGCAAGTGTTTTGTGTGAAAGATTAATAAGGGATAATTTTAGCATATCTTAGATGATTTTTCTGGAGAATCTCTGTCAATTTAGATTAAAAATCATCACTTACAAAGACTGTGTAATTTTTACTTTATATGAAAAAAGGACCATCTAGTTTTACATTTTGAGCTTTTATCATAAATACCATATGGTACAGGGTGTCCCAAAAAACATGGGATTTCAGTGACGAATTCGATATCGTCTTTTCAAATAATTCTTTGATTTAGTATAGGGATACCTACTGAGAAAGCTGTAATCTGTAAGAGTTTCGTCTGCTATGTTTACATTTTGTTTGTTCATTGCTATGTTTACATTTTGTTTGTTCATGTTTTGACTGCAACCGGTTGTACTTAGTAAAACAAGAAAATTACAGTATACAAACAGAGTAAACTTGTCCGTATTCACTGTTCATCTTGCGGAGACATTATAGACACATCTTTGCAGTCTTTTACCCTTTTCTTTAAATAAACTCTAGCAGACATAATAATATTATGGCTTTGGAAATTAGGTATTACAATGCTAATTCAGAACAAAGACGATATCGAATTCGTCACTGAATTCCCATGTTTTTTGGGACACCCTGTACTTTCAACCTTTGAATTTAACAAGTTCTTTTAAAATTACAGATGTACAGTTTTTTTATTTAAACATTTAAGTTTTGGCTTTCTGCTTTCAGCCTAATCTGTACACTATATATGATCTAAGCATAGTATAGTAAAGAATTGATACAATGTTGAAAACACATTCCACCCTTTGAGATCATATTTCAGCCTAGATTCTTCTAGTTTAGTTTACTCGTCCAACAACTGTGATTCTCTCAGTTCATTAGAATACTAATAGAAGTTTTTTAATTTTAAGTTTAAAAATAGAAATCTACTGTTTTAATGTGAAAAAACTACCTGTAATTCTTTAAATAAAGGATATATGGTTGTATTGCTCTCAGTATTCTTTTTAAATAATCTAGCTACGAAGAACCATAGATAAAAGAATACAGACTGAATAAATTTTGTTGAGTCGTCTCTAAAAGTTTCATCATTTGTGGAAAACATTGCATACATTTTGTACCAACATGCGAGTTAGAAAGTAATTTTCATTTATAGATATTAGATAACTACGTAACAAAGTTTAATCTTTTGATGAACTTCTCTGAATATCTAAACCTCTCGAAAAAGATGATGTCATAAATTTGCAAATGCAGATTGAAACTGAAGTGTAGAGAGTGCAAAAATCTTGAGACAAATATTGAAGACTATTTTCCCAAAACAAGAAACGACATAATCGCCTGAAACTTATAAGAGCCACAAAAAAGTGATAAATTTCTGTGAGTTTATAGAATCTAACAATTTGCATAGTAAACTAGGTATAGTCTTGGGATTTCCAAAATGTAGTCTGCCATATTGGACTTTTAAAATTGATTGAGATATTAAAATAAAATTAAATAGGACATTTAGAACACAGGACTTAATTTATTTAAAAATCTCGTAAAACATGTAAAATTCAAAAGAAAGAAATTTTTCAAGTCTACTGACCACTTCAAACTTAAGTAAATTTCAATTGAGATTGAAATCCTCATGGTAGTCTGAAAAATGAAAACTAGAGAGTAGAGAAGCAATGATGCCACTATCTATTTTACAATGAAACACGATCCCATATAAAAATACTTACGTCCAAAGGTCCAGTGTAGGGTTCGATCGCATTTCGAAAACTTTTCCGCGAAATTTCGCGAAAATAAATGAAGCGAAATAAAAGTTCGCAAAATGCGAAATGCGAAAATATTTTCGCGAAATGCAAAATTTTTTTTTTAAAACCATGAGTTTATAGCTGCAACAATTTATTGCTCAAAAGAACTTGTGGAGTTCTCTGCTCTGATAGCTCAATATTTGAAGTTTTATTATGTCATATAAATAATTTCTCCTCTTTTACTTTAATAAATGTCTGATCTATAAATTGTCTGATGTGTCCTAGTCGTTCTTAAATCTATATATATATATATTTTGTGATAATCCATCAATAAATCCCTCGAAATTCCTTTAAAATGAGTCTTTTATTCTCACAATTTAGTCTTTTTTGATGAATTTTCGTAACTTTTTCGATTAAATTTTGCATTTCTTTTTAAAAATTCTGTATTTTTCGCAAAATTTTCGTTTTTTTAATAATTTTCATTTTTTTGCGAAGTTTTAGCGAAACGATTTTTCCTTTTCGCTGGAAACCCTAGTCCAGTGTGACGGATTCTTTTCAATGAGATGGATTTTTGAAAAAAAAACTTCCAAAAAATGGAATATCTAAGTTTTACGTTGGGAAATGAGATGATATTATATTTCGTTTATTTTGCCTGAAGCAACCATAAAATATCAGATTTATGAATTATGAAATTTAGTTTGCATATTTGAAAAAAAAATTGGAAAATAAATTCAATTTGCAATAAAATTGTCAATGAAATACTTTAAATTCTTTTTGATTTAATTTTATAACGCCATCTAAATAATGTCTAAATTTATAGTGTTTAAAAACGTATTTCAAAGAATTGGATTAAAATCTACTGAATTTTTAAAACGACAATACATTATGATCTATAAAGAGTCTGTCATTATATAAATATGGATGTTGATGCAGGCGTATCAGCCCCCCCCCCTCCCACCTCGTCCCCTTTCCCCCCTTTTCTACGATTTTACAAAAAAGCATTCCCCCGAATGAGTAATAGCTACTGTTTTGTTTATTACTGTAATACGACCCCCCCCCCCCCCCCCGCAAATATGAAATCTAAGAGTATCATTGTTCTAAAATTACTAGGAGTATGGATAAATATATCAAACCACATATAAGATAAACTTACTCTAAATTACGCTAACAAATAGATTTCCTAAAATCTATTAAAAAAATATTAAGCAAAATTCGATCCTGCAGTGATTAATATTTTTGGTTTTGTTCATCTCTTGATATAAAAGTGTTTACATACGCGACCTTCTTTTCTGCAGAAAACTGTTGGAATAGTTCAAGAAAAATCATCAAAGTAAAAATTACAGAATTCTCTTATTTTTGCACTACTAGTACTCTGGTAATGCGCGGCCTAAATATCATACTTTGCCAATCAGACTTTAGAATTGGATCAATTGGACTTTTGTTCGAATATTCTTAATCTTGATCCGTAATTATCGATATCCAATGCGGACACTTTTATATGCTTTATCCCTCAATTCAAGTTTTGCTTGCAAGGATTGCCTAAGATGTAGATCAATGCTAAATCCCGGAATTCTCAATACAAAAGTTCTAACATCAGGAAACATTGGAACTCTGAGTTCGAATTTAATGAATTAGCGCTGCGTCTCAAATCCGCCAATAACCGGTTTCAATTGAGCGCCGCAACATTGAATACAATTTTAAGTGGAATCAACCATATTTGAACCTCGTCTCAAATTCTTTAAATTCGGCCTCTGTTTATTTCAAGAATACCAGACCAATCTTCGGGTTACTAGACCATTTTGTATATTATACGAATATATTATATTTCATCCATTTTTTATTTAATTAATTTTTTATTTATTTTTTCAGATTAATTTATACTTTAGTGTATATGAGAGTGCAGCGGTTACACAGGTTTGATACTTGTTTACACAATCTTGATGAAAACTAAATAATTAAAACGTTTTTTGTATTAGATGTCTTTAATAAAGCTGTATTCAACTTCGACGCCGTTTTTGTAACATTATTTTTATTTTTGATACAAAAAATCCAGTAAAAAATCTTTTTCTAATTTTAGGTTTTAAATATAAATAACTTGAAATGTAAATGAAATTCTTGATTTTTCAAGATGTGTTAAAGTGAAAAAGTTCTTTTGCGTACACTATTTTAGAAATGCCAAGGTAATTAATAATTATTGTAAAAAAACAATTTGAAAATTAGGTTTTAGAAGGAATGCCACAAATTATGTCAAAGCTCAAAGGCTAGTATCAGAATTGCAACGTTACCTTGAAAACCTTAAACTGATCAAAAATAAGGAAAATACTCAAATCAGATTTTATTACTCGGAAATGTTTAATTCTGATAATAATTCATTATTTCTTAACAGCAAGCTGAAATGCGCAAGTGACTTTTTCAGAGAAACCACAATAGAAAATAAATAATTATATAAAAAAGTAAGGATATCTATTTTAAACTAGATCGGAACAAAACTTTCCAAGGTACAGTTGCAAATTTAACATTGTCATCTGTACATGGAGGGTCACTTAAAATTACAATTATAGTCCCTTAAAGTCCCTTATAGTCCCTTAAAGTCCCTTACAGTCCCTTATCGTCCCTTATAGTCCCTAATAGTCCCTTATAGTGCAATATATTCCCTTATAGTCCCTTATAGTCTCTTACAGTTCCTTATAGTCCCTTACAGTCCCTTAAAGTCCCTTATCGTCCCTTATAGTCCCTTATAGTCCCTTATAGTCCCTTATAGTGCAATATATTCCCTTATAGTCCCTTATAGTCCCTTATACTCCCTTATAGTTCCTTATAGTCCCTTATAGTCCCTTATACCCCCTTTAGACCCTTATAGTCCCTTATAGTGCTTTATAGTGCCTTATAGTCCCTTATAGTCCCTTATAGTCCATTAAAGTCCCTTGTACAGTGAAACCCTTAATAACGAAAACATCGAAATAATTCATCAAATGTCGTATTCTTCACTTTCTGATTATGGAATGGTGTAGATATTTAGTTTTTTAATTAAATGAGTATATGGAAATCTTTAAAACTGTTCCCGTATATTCATGGCTATTTATTTATTTTCGCAAATACTGAAATTTACGTAATATAGTATAAGATTCATTGAAAAATTGTCAAGACGACATTTGATAAATTCTTTCGATGTATTCGTTATTAAGGGTTTCACTGTAGTCCCTTTTAGTCCCTTATAGTAGTCTCTTATAATCCCTTTAAGTATTGAGTTTCTTCTTGTAACAAACACAATACAATTATAAAACAAAAATATGTTTATACAATGATTTTTTAGTGTTACACTGCCTCGCTCCTCCGTGGATCTAGACAGAGGAACGGGATATTCTCCAAGGAAAACATAGCTTAACATTAGATTTACTGCTTAATATAGTGAGTAATAGGAAGACGACTTTTATAATCAAGTCTAAAGAATATTAGATACTAATTGGCCTATTTCACTAAATAACTGATGTAACAACAATAAAGCAGTTTTTTTGGTAATCTCATTTTTAACAAATTTGTATGAAATTTCAGATACAAATTTTTATTTAGGCCTTCTGATAGACCCTTTAAAAAAATCTGCGTAACAATTTTTTACTTAAAATTAAATGAGTAGAAAAACAAAAGTTCGGGAATATATTATTTCTATCACACCTTAAAATCTTAAGTTTATCAGATTAGTAGTTTTGGAGAAAATGCGTGAAATTAAATTGAAAAAATATGCAATTTTATTTTTGAAAAAAATCATCTTGATGATTTTTATTCTTTTTAATTCTTTTTTATAATGTGAATTTTTAAGAAAGGTAAAATATCTAAATTATGATATTAGGAAAATACACATACAAAAGTGTATCATTAAAATTTGTTGATTTCTGAATTTAATTCGCGCATTTTCACCAATATGTACTCATCTGATTTTTTAAAAGATTTTAAGGTGCGATAGAAATTTTTTTTTTATTTCCTACATATTTGTTAAAATTAGATTACCCCAAAAAAAAGTGATTTATTATATGCAAGATCTCGCTATCCACTCTTTTTTTTGACCCACCCTAACGAAATGTATAAAAGTTTACATTCCAATTGCATAAAAAAATTTACATTGTAAAAGGTACAAAAAGGTTTGAAGACGTTCTTAATTTTATTCCGGCCGTGTGTTTGCTATTTATTGGACGCACATAATTTAGCTGAATTTTATTAACTTTTTTCATTTCCTGCTTTTTCATGATTTGTCAAATTCTACGTTTTCTCCAGCATCGGAAGCGGGACAGGGTCTGAATACAGGTTTTTCTTGAATTAATTCATTTTAAATTTAAAAAGTACAGCTTTGAATTAAAAAAGTGTTAAATTCTGACAATTTCTCTCCTTTTTTTGGTTTTTGTAGAAATTCAATTTGTCCTTTCATTCAAAGAAGACTGATTCACACGTGTTTAAAAACACCTCTGATGAAAATTATTAATTTGCAAAGAGAAAAGACATGAATGAGATATTCATTCTGATAAAACTAAGCTTTAAGGGTACCATTGTGAATCGGGCATGCCAGACTTTTTGAAGGTGCCTCACTTCAAATTACGCATTTGATTTCAGTTTCCATTTGGACACTTTTAAAAAATGCATTAACAGCATTTTGTAAATTTCTTTTAAATTTGAATTTACAATGTGATGTGATGGGGACCTATAAAACTACTAAATGAAAAGAAGACTAACAGACTTATGTGAAATGAATTTAAAATAAAGAATTTGAGAGTGTGCAAGGAATCATTTTACTTGAAATAATATGTTTTTTTTTTTGTCAATGTTGTTGCTGTTGTAAGTAAAATATCAAATGCACAAAATACTGACTAATGCAAAGACTTTGCTAATTAAAGATAGCGCATCAGAAAATCGACGCAAATTTGACGCATTTTCTGGGGTACCAAAAGATAGTAACTAATGTCGTCTTCTCCAGAAAAGTATATATTTACCCTGTTGACGTTTCATATTGTCGTCTTTTGTAATGTATTAAATAGTTATTTAAAAACAAAACATTGGGAAACCACCTAAGTGTATCTATCTTGAAATATTTATTTTGTCCATAGTCCATAACAGTGACTAGTGGAAAAACACATAATTTACAGAATTCATCACTTTTTAAGTTGAAATAACGACGATATCTTCCTCATGGTTACCCAGATAAATGTTTAAATGGTACCGTTGTTGATAGGACCTTTAAAGGGTTGGTAACTTGAAATTACATCTATCAGTCCTTTGGAACATTTACTTTTGGTTTGAAGTATATAAGTGTTTATAAGAAGAAAATTAATGTCACATATCTTGTATGCAATTGTACCTTGTACTTTTTAACAGTAATCAATTATCTCATTACTTTTTCATTCCCGATTGAATTCTCTCTCTACCTGATTTAAATGAATTATTGAAAAATATAACGTCATAATATTTATTTAACAGTGTATTAGTTTTTTTCACACTCTGGAATTCATATGATCCAATTAAAGAGCCTTCATCCAAACTTTTTTCTTTTTGGATCTGCTGGCATTGTAAACGCAGACTCTCCTATTCTTGGTTGGCTTGGCAGTTGGGTATCATACATGTTACTTTGCTAGGCAGTGGCACCGACAAACCTGAATTTATCAGAATTATTCATTGAATTTGTATACATAAAACTCCGAAATTTGAAGACGAAATTTAGACAATCTGCATGTTTATTGCTCAATTACGGTATTTTATGTTCATTGAACTATTTAATCAAAAATTGAGTCTAAAAGTCGTCTTTATATTCCCCAGTTTTATTTTCACCAATGTATTTAATTCTTTAATCCCCCTTTTTAAAATCCTCCAATAATTCATGCCTGGAACCTTTAGTAATAAACTTTAAAAGAGTTATAAGTAAAGGGTCGTCCTTTAATTCGCATTTTTAACGAAACTGTCTGTGATATTTTTTTCTTTAATGGTGGATATTTTTCAAACAAAATTCCCATACATTAATCGAAGAGTAAGATTAATACATTAAGTTATGCGATATTATTTCTTTGCCTAAGATTAAACAGAAGACGACATTTACACAATATTTATTTACCGTTTATAATATTTGAAATTTCTGGTCCCCTCTCTTCTTCATCGCCAGAAATTCCATTCCATAGAACCTCAGAAAAAATATTTGACAACATCTGAAAATTTTCACTAACAATTATTGGCTATTTTTAATACAAAAGAGATGCGTAACTTTATCACAAATTCAGCTATAATTCACCAGACGACTCTCATATCCAACAAATGATTAAACCAATTTTAAAATACAAATTAATATCATTAATTTGAGTTAAATTTCAGCACAAAACATTCACAATTGAGTTAAATATCTAAGGTTTTAATGTCGATTGTTAGACTCTCAAACAACCAAAATAACCAATGACGTCAAAATACAGCTGTACAGGCGTACACAATAGTCGGATAAATTTCCAACGCCTCGTCTTTATAATTAGCAAAGTCTTTGGACTAATGGTATTCCTATTCCACATTTTTAACGTTAACACTGTGTTTGTACATGTTTTAGAATGGCTTTCTTTGCAACAGTTGAGAGTAGAAAGAATGCAGCTTTCGGGATAAATGGTGTACTGCTGGTTTCAAGGTAAACAATAATGTACTGTTGGCTTTAAGATAAACAACAGTGTACTGCAGGTTTAAAGGTGAAAATCATTAGATGGTGCCCAATTTTGGCTTTGAAAAATACATGAAATTTCTTATGTTTTCTAATTCGTAGTCAAAAATTAAAACTATTGACGTCGGGGTTTTATATTTTTTTGAGAGGCTTTTTAAAAATACAGTTTGGAAATGTTGAAACCCTATTTTTATTGAACAGACGTTTTAAATGTTTAGAATCCTGATAAAAGGTCTTTTAATGAACCGAGCCAATTTATTTCCCATAACTAGTTGCATTGCAAATGTAAAATGCGCCATTGATCTAAAAATATTTTAGCCTATTTCAGACTGACACTTCGTTATTCTACAATTTTGCATATTTTCAAAGAGGTGTTATTTCAAAAAAAAGTATGATGCCTAGAAAAAATACACCTTGAAATGACTTGCACATAGAGTTTTCTATGTTTAAAGAAAATTGAGCAAAATAATTGTTTCCTTAAGACCCATACCCATACTACAAAGTTTTTTTTTGGACAACTTGTATACCTTCCTATTGGGTCATGAAAGGGCCAACAAAAATTGGGCTACGGTTTAGTGGTTTTTACGTTTATTGGATACATTCAACCTATACATAGTACATACAAATATAAATGATTCTTAAAAGACATGTGATAACTTTACATCTATTTTTTAATTTTTTAGTTTGATTTTGATTAGAGCCTGTGAAATTTTAAACGAATCGCATATATGTGGCTTAATGCATTTAGAGTAGAATAATATGTAAAAGATGAGGAATATAGATATTTGTTTGCAACTCTTGCACTGCTTTGTTTTCATTCCTTGTAATTCACAATTCTGAAGAACGGTGTGAACTTTTAACTTAAAGATTTACGTATTTCAAAACTAAATTTTTATCTCCCTTGTAAAATGTCTTGGAAGCTAAAATCATAGATTAATAACAATACAGATAGAACACTAGATGGCGTCTTTTCAAAATTTAGAGGGTTTTTCGTTTATCAATAACCCCGAGGCAGAAGCCCATAGAAGTTACGCGCATACCGCACTGAATTACAAGACAGAGAGAGAGCATGTGCGTAAAAAACTCCTAAATCTTAAGAAGACGACGAAGTGTTATATCTGTATTATTATTAATCTATGATTAAAATGCACTCCGTGCACTGCATACTGTTTTAGTACGGGACATTCTTTATATTTAACATTTAATATTTTTAGTTTGATTTTAATTGGAACCGGATCCAGCCTAATGGGTTTCTATAGAATTCACATGCTGGAGGTAATATATTTCGAGATTCCACCCCCCCCCCCTCCACCCCCCTCCCTTCCTCTTTTTAAGGGCAAGGGGGGGGGTTAATTTTTGGTAAAAAAAAACATTCCGAACACATATCAAAGTAGCGAGAGAGTTTTATTTCGTTTTTGATTATTAAAAAAATCGTTAAACCTTCAATGCTCTACCCAAATAAGATTTTAAATTATTTTTTGCTTGTTTCCTGTATATTTCAAAAGAAAGGAATAATAAATTTTATTAGTTCTCAAAATTTAAGAAAATCACTGAAATCGTTTATAGCCTAATAATCAAAAAAGCTGTAGGTTTGAAAACACGGTGACGGGGAAATTAATCAATTAAATTCCAGCGTTTCTGGTAATCCAAGGTTAAATCGTTTTTATTTGTTTTTTTTTAGGTGATAACTCTGGATTTTATTATTGTACCTACAGTTCTCACAGGAAACAGAGCAATTTAAGAAAACAAATTTATTTTTCTAAAATACATTTAAAAGTCTTTTTTCGAGCTTTTGTATTTCCATTGTGAGTTTCTTGAATTTTGTTTTATATGGTAGGAGGTGGACTGTTCACTCTGCTCGTCTCATTTTTTGGATTTGCAGCTGTTGCAAAGTAATTAGATTTTGTATTTGGTGAATTGAATTTTTGCAAAAAAAATTTGATTTTTTTTCTAAAATTTACTTGTCTTGGGCTGCAAGAAAAAGGTATATTTAATTTACTAGTAAGGTAATATAAGCATAGAGAATAGAATATATATTAGAGAGGAATTAAAAGAATCTCTCGGTATGAATTTTCTCAGTCCCTTTCAGCCTGAAAGGGAGTTCAAAGTGTACAAATCATGTACATGTTCACAAATTATGTGCAGTAGAGTACATTAACACAGTATGTTCTCTAGACTATTCATTTCAATTTCGAAATTTTTAAAGCTGTTAAATAAACTTTATAATGAATTAGGTGAATAAAAACCATCATTTGAGTTATAGTTTTAACGGAAAATCATCGTTTTTAAAGTGAAAGGCATAGAGTCTATGTGAAATGATCATTGGTCAATTATTTGGTTTTCTTTTAACATTAATTTTAGATTTTCTATAAAATGATATTCCAGAGCCCAAAAGGTTATATAGCATAAATATGTGAAGTACACCTGCAGTATGGAAACAGTACAACAAAATGGCCGTTTTCACACTTTTTTCTAGTAAATTCCCCTCTAATATATATTCTATTCTCTTTGAATATAAGTCAAAGACGTTGCGGCATTTTAAAGTCGACCCCGTCTTTAAATATTTGAAGCAACTTTTTATACCAGTCTGAATCTATGTGAGGTAATCATTACATTAAATTCTAGAGAAGATAGCTGTCTGTTAACCTGCTTCTCTGTTCTGCTTGGGGTCGACTTCTGTATACTGGTAGCAGGGATTATATCCAGTGTCAGGTGAGACTGAGTTTTCAATCAATCATTAAATTTGAGCTCAGATTAAAGGGAGTAAGGTAGTTGAACTGAGTAAGGTAGTTGAACTGAGTATGCAGTGTTGTGGAAAACTTCTTTCGGATTCATTTGAGACATATTAAACCTTTTAAAGATCAGTAAATCCTGAGTTTGAGCGCAAACTCGATGTTCAAAACTCCTACTTTGGGGGTGGATACGTTTTCAGAATTAGTTTTTTTTTAAATTATTAAATAACGACGACATAAAATGTAAAAAAGTTCTACAATAAACTACAGAAGTCATGTATAGGAACATGTTAAGAAAATAAAAATTAATCTTATCATTGAAAATAAATAATCTTGTTCAATTATTAGTTTCTATTATCTCATTATTCTGGTTTCTTATTATTCACAAAGATTTTCTCAGATTTTCTTGAGTTATTATTGAAAGAACAACATTTGAAGAATTTGAAGAAATCTGCGAATAAATTCAAAGAAAATTAGAAATTCAATATAATAATGAAAACGAAATAATCGATTTTAGCATTGATTTATTGACAAATTTCTTTTGAGAAATATGTTCCTAACCATCTAATTAGATTACTGTATAATTTTTACTATATTTTTCGTTGTCGTTATTTAATTATTAAAAGAAAATAATTCTGAAAACGTATCCAACCCCAAAGTAGAGTTTTGAACGTCGATTTTGCACTCAAACTCAGGATTTACTGATCTTTAAAAGGTTTAATATGTCTCAAATGAATCCGAAAGTTTTCCACAACACTGCATACTCACATTCAACTACCTTACATAGCCGGTCACTCCCTTTTAGTCTGACCTCATAATCATATAAAACCAGGCTTTGTAATTATTTTGTCAATCTTAGAAAAACATTTTTAATATAATTGATTTTTTGAAATTTATCATTGAGCTAAGATCATGTAAAAATGGCTTTCTTTGTAAATCAATCTTAGGGGTTGAGCCTTGTTTAAGTCCAACTCCAGTGCTGGATAAAATCGGTTGTTATTAGTACTAATCAATCTTTAGTGTTAAAAAATTATAAAAAAAAAATAAAAAAAATTATAAAAATTATGTCCGAAAATAGGAAGTCAGGTAAAACTGTCTTAACCCTATCCTTGAGTTCTTGAAAATCAGTATACGTTGTGGGAGGGGGTGGGGGATTTCATATTTTGCAATAATAACATTTTTTGCTAAATCCAGTTAACTAGTAAAACCAGTTTTAAGTTTTAACCCTATCCTGATTGGGCTATGTTGTGTGATATATGGTTAGGGTGCAAGGGAGGATTTTAAAAAGATAAAAAAAGTACGCCCGGAAAATGTGCAGCAATCAATATTTTTACTTCTATATATAAATTTGGCTTGTCTGTCTGTCTGTTTGTCTGTTTGTTTGTTTGTTTGTTTGTATCCAATAAACGTCAAAACGGCTGAACCGATCGGGCCCAAATTTTTTGTGGGACATCTAGGGACCCCAGGGAAGGTTTATGAATC